AGAAGAAGAAGAAGAAGAAGAAGAAGAAGAAGAAGAAGAAGAAGAAGAAGAAGGAGAAGGAGAAGGAGAAGGAGAAGGAGAAGGAGAAGGAAAAGGAGAAGGAGAAGAAGAAGAAGAAGAAGAAGAAGAAGAAGAAGAAGAAGAAGAAAAACTTGTAAATGCAATAATACAAATTCTCTCCCCCCCTTCTTTCTTTCTCTGTCTCTTTCTCTGTCTCTTTCTCTCTTTTTCTTCTTCTCTCTCTCTCTCCCTCGCTCTCGCTCGCTTACTCATTCCTTAACTTCGCTATCTATCTCTCTGACTAATTCTCACATGCACACCCGCCCCCCCTCCCTAAAAAAACAACCCAAAACAACTCCACACGACTTACTTTTTCAAGGTAGACGGCGCATTTACATCCCAAGTCATTTCAGCTCCTTCAAACGTTACTGCGTGCTCTGATGGAGACAGTACACATCATCAAGCCATTATCATCAATATTATCATTATTATCATCACTGCAAGAAACAATGTAGACAAAGTACAACAAGAAAGTGGAGTTTCGGGAAGTATTATGTCCCATTATTTTAAATTATCAATTTAAAAAAAGTGATGATCATGATAACTGTCATTATCATTAACAATTAATTATTGTCATCGTCAACATCGTTAACAGTTAATTGAAAACTAAGGGGGGAGAACCAGAGATGTCCACTTTTGGCAAATCAGAGAAAATTGAGATTTGGTCTTTGGAGTACAGCAGTACTACCCACTTTTTAAATGGCCACACTCTTAAGCTTTCGTAGGTTTTCTTAATGACATTTTTTAAAGATAGATGTGAATCATCGTCAAGCGCTCGTCAAAATAATGAAATCGAAGATACCGACAAAGCCCACGAAAATGTAAATATTGGACATCTGTGCTTTTTCCTTCCAGATCTATGTCTTCAATTTGAAATTTAAGAACAGGAGAATATTATCACACAGTGCTGGTTTGACACATCGGAGGGGAATGCTTTAAATCTTTTTAGCCCGTAATCTCTGGTGTATCTGTTAGGGGCCTCGTTGTGGTACGCCAGAGATTCGAGTTTGAATCCCGAGTGCAAAGAAATTTGTATTAAGCGTCTCGGGTCTTTCCGCTGAGAAATTGTATCCCTCTCTCCCCGGGTTGGCCCTGATAGGCAGGGTCGGAAGCCCGCCTCCCAAATGATCTAAATTGTGTCGATGGGGGCGCAAAACACCCAAAGTATAAAGTACCAGATCACATACACTGACCAGCCCACTGACGGCTGTCCACTGACAACTGACTAGCTCACTGACCACTGACCACTGACAACTGACTATCGCACTGACCACTGACCAGCCCACTGATCACCCCTCTTACCACAGAACACACATTGACCACTGACCACTGATCACTGACCTCTGACCCTCCCACTGACCACTGACCATGACACTGACTATCTCACTGACTACTGATCACCGACAACAGGCCACTGACCACTGACCACTGACCACTGACCACTAACCTCTGACCACTGCCCTCTGACCTTCCCACTGACCAGCCCACTGATCACCCCCCCTACCACCGAAAACACACTGACCACTGTCCACTGACCACTGACCCTCCCACTGACCACTGACCACTGACCATGACACTGACTATCTCTCTGACTACTGACCACCGACAACAGGCCACTGCCCATTGACCACTGACCCTCCCACTGACCACTGGCCCTCCCACAGACCATCATACTGATTCCTGATCACTGACCAGTCCACTGATCACCCCCTCTTACCACAGAACACCCACTGACCACTGACCACTGACAATATATGACCATTACACTCACTATGTGACTGGCTATTTTCCACCGACAACAGGCCACTGCCCACTGACCAGTCAACTGACCCTCCCACTGACCACTGACCATCACACTGACCACTGACCACTGACTATCACACTGACCACTGACCACTGACCACTGACTATCACACTGACCACTGACTATCACACTGACCACTGACCACAGACTATCACACTGACCACCGACCACTGACCAGTCCACTGACTGTCCCACTGACCACTGACCACTGACAACTGACTATCACACTGACCACTGACCACAGACTATCACACTGACCACCGACCACTGACCTGAGTCGGCCATCTCAATGACTGTGTTCTCGTCCAGTTCCTCGTACAGCAGAAAGTTGTTGATCCGAAGCACGGACACGTACGCCTGGGGAAGAAATACACACACATACACACACAGGGGAAAACACACCACGTTTGACACACGGGTGGGA